AGGTACCCAATGTCAACCTCAGGCCTCCACATACCCACACACAATGTCCACACACATGTAAACATGCATAGACACAAAAATCATTTTAAAATATGAACAGAAAAATCCAAGGATTTGCTAAACTATTTCTGACTATACCTTCCATTTTGGTAGAAAAGAAAGATATCCACATTTTAAATTAGAGAATAAATTTAGAGTAAACAAACTCTCCCATGTTGCAATCTCCAAAAAGGCCTACTGGATTCAGGAGTGGATTGTGTTGTGTTCTGGGTTACTGTGTGGAAATAACAAGGAAACATCTCTTAAAATAGAAATAAAAAACAAAACCCAAGATTGCTTTTGTTGTTGAAACATGGTCTCATGCAGTCCAAATTGGCCTTGAACACTAAATAGCCAAGAATGACTGAAATTCCCATCCTGTCTGGCAAGATGACTCTGGGCGACTTACAATGGCTGCCAAGTCTGATGACCTGAGTTCAATCCCCAGGACTCATAAGTGGTCAATGGAGAGCACTGACTGCTGCTGGTCATTCTCTGACCTCCACATGGGCACTGTGGTGTGCAGATATGTGTGTGCACACTTGCACAAAATACACAAATTCTGATCCTCCTGCCACCACAAGTGTGCTAGGATGTGAACCACCACGCCTAGTTTAAATAACACTGGGGATCAAATCCAGGGCTTGGTATATGTTAAGTGCTCTACTGAACAACTCTACTGAGCCGCATGTTTTTCTCCATCCACATAACTCCACTTTTTTTTTGTCTTTTGAGACAGGCTGGTCTTGGACTAACAGCAGTCTTCCCGTATCCTGCTGTGATTTCATGTGTGTAGCACCATGCCTGGCTGGGTTTTTAAGTGTTTCTTCTAGGCTTAAAAAGAACCCATAAACTTAAAAACATTTTTAAACAAGCAAAAAATACCTGTTTCCTTACTGTAACGACAAAATTTGGAAATGCAATTTGAACTGAGGGTAAGCACCCTCTTGAGCCTAGAAAATAACTTTATTTTAATCTGTCTTGAGACGGTGTCATCTACAAGACTTTAACACTCTTCCCAGAGCTGAGTGTTGGGGTGTACACCTGCAATCCCAGCACTGAGGAAGGGAAACACAGGTGTGAGTACAACTTTGGCTATACAGAGACCATATCAAAACAAAACAAAACCTGTCTATCTTTGCCTCAAAATGATTTATTATCATTCTATTTACTCCCATCCCCCAAATCTGGTACATTTTCAGCACACAGAATGGGACTACAGGTGCATGGATGATCTCATATCCAGACATACTTGTATAACTCAGATCGTGAACAAAATGGTTCGTAGTTCCCATCTAAAACTACTAGAAAGAAAAGCACTTTGGCCATCTGATTCCCTTGTATGTACTTGCAAACGGGGCAGGCATTCAAATGGAAGGGACAGAAGTCAGATGAGCTGGATCTTTCAACACCTTTACAAGAATACAAGGAAACAGCCATTGGGCACGTACCTGCTCCTGGAATTTCCACTAAAACAATGCATTTGATTACTCTCCAGCACATGCATTTGTGTGAGCACCAGCCTTGACAACGCAGAGAAGCACCTGCCAAGTGATCACGGGGCAAGGCAGCACTCCCCAGGAAGGAAAAGCAAGCCTAGCCCAGACTGACACAGGCATAAGCTCAAAGACGTACACTCTTCTTACCCACCCGTTTCTACCGAGAATGATACCAAGTCTGACTTGGTTTTCCCAGAATAGTTCTTTTAAAAACTCTTACATAAAACAGCCTGAGAGCCGGGTGGCGGTGGCGCACACCTTTGACCCCAGCACTTGGGAGGCAGAGGCAGGCGATCTCTGTGAGTTCGAGGCCAGCCTGGTCTACAGAGTGAGTTCCAGGACAGGCACCAAAACTACAGAGAAAGCCTGTCTCGGAAAAAACAAACAAACAAACAAACAAAAAACCACACCAGCCTGAGAATTGGGTAAGTAGACTTCGAATTCCTTAACGTCACCACGAATAACTCTCTTCCAAAAGCGTGCCTCTAGTTTGTCTTCGGGAAGCTGGTAGGGTGAGAACGGAGCTAGATATAAGGTAGAAACTGCACTCAGCATAAACAAACTCCAGTACACAAAGTACACAGTTTGGCAGGTGAGGTAAACAAAGCAAACTGTCAGTTACTTCTAAGAGCTAAGAGGGGACAGCGGGAAGGGGAAATCTTGAAACGGAAGTTGAAACCTGGGGTAGCATGAAGTCCTACTTCATGAGTACTAAGAATCATACACTTGTTTTTCTTTACCCTCTACCTTTCCCCCATCAGCTACTCTTTCCTTTTACACTCCCCTCCCCCAATAAAACCGCATTCCACGTAAGCCCTAGGCACCAAGTGATAACCACCATGGTGCAGAGAGAGAACTGACTCCCATACATGTGCTGTGAGGCTCACAGGTATCCACACAGACATATACAAAATAAGTAAAGAAATGCAAAAATTATGAGAAAAGAACAGCTTTAAAGGTGTGAGGTATGGTATTAACTTGTGGTCTCTCCAGAAAAGAAAAGGATGTATGATCACCCAGGCTTTCAGCAAAGATGATACCCACGTCCTGGGTAAGGAAAGCAGTGGTCAGGGTCTATCGATGGAGGAGTATCTGTTTAGACAAGAAGCATTTCTGCTCCAAACAGGAACCTCTTGAAAGAACTCAATTTGGGGGTTGGGAGGAAGCTCAGTTGAAGTGTTAGCCTAGCATGCAGAGAGCTCTAGGTCTGACGCCCCAGGACCCCACAAACAGTGTGTGGTACACAGCATCAAGAGGTTGAGGCAGGAGGATCAGGAGGAATTCAAGGTCATCTTCAGCTACATAGCAAGTTGAAGGCCAGCCTTCCCCTCCTTCTATATTATAATGCTAAAATGCAATTGGAAAATTATGCTAAAATTGAAATTGGTTTTCTTGAAAAGAGAAAGGCCATCAAAGTCAAGACATAAATGTAGCATGAACTGTGGTCCATAGTACAAAATGTATTCTCTGTTCCAGGTGTTAATGGACAACAGCAACATAGTGGCCTATGATGAAGCTCAGGGAGTATCAGCTTCAATTATGAAAACCCGGGCAATGAATCTTGTAATTTAGGAAAGTATGTAAAGTCTCTTTATATATGATTGTGAGCTTCCTATTGGTCACTACTATCTACATACACCCTTTCCTGGAGAATCTTAAGATTCAAAATGGTCATAAAGATGTCAAAAGATAATCTGGAAGTTAAAAGGAACAAATTAAACCATATCAAGAGATAATATCATTTATCTTTGCAAATGCCACCTACACTATCTTCAAATAAATAGTGAAGGTCCATGGTGTAGAAGCCCGATAGTATTTATAAAACAGAAAAAATTTAAACTATATACTAAAAGAAATAAACAGTATCACGGTCTATTTCAAATGCTCTAATTATTTGGCACATAATGTGTGTCTTGCCTTATCTAGAAACTATTCGGTGATAAAAAGCAATGTATTTGTCAAAGTGATGATAAACATTGTTGAGTTAGAGAGTTTTATATTTATGTAACTTCTATCTCCTTCTATTTCCTCAACTTTATCTTTTATTACTGGAAACCAAAAAAAAAAAATCATTGTTCTCTAACACCAAAGAAAAATAATAATTTAGAGCTAATATGTAAAAAAAAAGACTTCAATACAGTAACAATCATAACCTTGGGGTATTCTTAGGAGACACAAGCATGTACATTTCATATAACATGATGCTCTTTTCTTTTCAGATTACTGTGGACTCCCAACTGTTGCAGAATACATTTTTAAAAACATTCTTCCATAATCATAAAGCAAAACAAGCAGCAAGTTACTCAATACAGAAATGGTGACTGTATCCTTTAACATAATAATGAAATTAATGACTGTCTTAAGCCAACTTTAGGGTATGTGACATGTATACACTTGTGGAGAGTCCCATCTAGCATCTGCTTTCAATACACACCACCATGCCTTGTGCCTGCTCCTAACAGCACAATTATTAGGGTAGGAACACAGAACAGGAAGGAGACAGTTCCAGGAAACCCTTGCTAGCCTCAGTCCATCGTCACTTTATCTTTCCCTCATACACATGCAGCTGACAGACCGCCCATTCTTCTTGCACGTCGTTCAACTGAAGGTCTTTCCTGCTTCGGAGCACAGCAGGCAGACCGTTATCACCTATCTCTGCTATTGAATTAGCACGGATAACAGGCTTAAAGAGAGAGAGAGTGGAATGTGTGAGACGGCAAAGGACAATACAGAAGGTAGTTTCTACTCCAGGAATAATTACCTGCAACTCCAGAGCAGAGGCTCCTGATACAACTGAGAGGGAAAAACTCAAGCACAGCTTTCCAATGATCAAGTTGAACTTACTTTAATTTCATCTCTAGTTAAAAAACAGTATTCTGCGCAAAGCTACACAGAGAAACCCTGTCTCGAAAAACCAAAAAAAAAAAAAAAAAAAAAAAAAAAAAAAAACAGTATTCTACTCCATGGAGGAAAGTCTATTTCCTATCTACAATAGCAGCAGGATTGGCAGCAGTCTTTACTATTGAAAAGCCAGAGTGTGGGAACAAATTCTCCAGTGGCCCATGTTTCTGCTGTCCCTTCTGCTCCTGCACAAACACCAACTCCCCAGGAAGCCCGGGATGGCAGGCACAGCACAGGCACCCTGCAGTGGGACACAAATGGAGCTCATTCTCTGCATCTTCCCAGATCTTCAGGCACACAGCAGAGTCAGTGGTTTGAGTATGGTAATGTCACTAAGTAAATAATCTAAAGAGAGGGCTCAGAGAACATAATGCTAAGTTAAATTCCTATTATTTAGATGATAAGGTGTCAAGTCATTCAACTTTCAGCCTATTTGGGAAGGTTTAAGCTATTCTTAAGAATATGGTAGTCTTCGCTCAGTGACCACCACCTCCTTGTATCTTCAGAAATGCTTACGAACTGCGTTACTATATCCTAGAAGTAAATCCAGGGACCATTCCATCTTATCTTACACACAACATTTACTAGTTTTCCAAGCATGACAGAAATGGGAAAATATATATATATATATATTAGAACAAGAACAATTTATGTTAATTTCCACAATCTCGTTCTTCTGTGAGCAGTGCCTGATTCTTTTTTAAATGAACAAACTTCAGTCCAATGCTAAAGAAAAAGAAATCCAATGTGGGACTAATTACAAAATAAACAAGAATATGATTTCATAATAAATCTTTCCAGTGTTGCTCTAACTGCATTACAAAATGCTTCTTCCCACAGAAACTCAGATAACTCTTCTAAAATGAAAAACAACTTTCTATATTCATTTCTGACAAGCAATGACTAATTAAACATCCTCGTGAGGGATCCAGAAGTGCTGCCTCAGGAGCATAACTTACCACTCACCATCCTTATAAATAAGCCCTCGTCAGTGGCTACTACCTGGGACCCCTCTTCTCAGGCTAGTGACCATCTCATGGAAAGCCCGATAGAAAACCAATGCTGCAGAAGTGAACTTGGCATGTTCCACTCAGATCCTTCTAAGGTAACTGTTCTAAAACAAAATTGGCAGATCTTGTTTAATAATAATAATAAAAAGCAAATGCTGCTTTTTGATCTTACAGAGGCAAAAAAATAAAAAATAAAAAGGGAAAAAGTGACAAGAGTAATAATTCAAGTAAAGTATGTGTAAATTGAAACACGCCACTTTCACGTTAAGACAAAGTGAAGGAGGGTAAGGATCGTTATAACAGAGTCAAAAAGCCTAGGTATTATCACCAACAGTTAATTCACTTTACAGTCACCAATAAGACAATTGTATATATTTTTGCACCTTGCGCTTGTAAAAGCAGATAAAATATTTAATATGTAATTTACAATGTATTTTACCAGCTCAGCATACAGGATGTTTATAGATTATATCAAAGTAGTAGACAGTTAGGGGCCTGTGCAAACCCTGCAAAAATAGAACTTCAGGTATCTGCTAATCAAAAACAAGAACAAAAACAGTATGCTGTTTAGAAGTGATACAATTCAAACTACCACAAAATACAAAGGACTGCAAAAATGTATACCATTCCAACATCATATATAAGTTATTAAATAAAGATCTGATTTAAAAGAATATAAATGAAGCCTTTAAGTAGGTCTTTTCTACATGCATATTATTCCTCATTAAAGAAAAAAATATGTAAAAAGGCCATTGGTAATTGCTTTATTAACATTTGTAGAAAATGCCAATTCTCTGGTCACAAACTCAACTAAGTTTAGCACTTAAGGTCTCTGCAGTGTTATAAACGTAATTTAAAATACTGTTAATTCTAGAACTCCATTGGTAAAATGATGTGACTTGGAATATGGCAGTCTTCATGTTGAGGGCAATGATCCACAGTTCTGTTTTGAGTTTCGTAGGCGTGAGCAGTTATCCAGAAGAACAGCATCCTCCACTGCCGCTCTGGGCTTGAGGTTCGTCGTCGATGATCTGCACGCCTCGCCTGGCAGCCCCCGCTTGACTAGAGCCATTGCCTTTCGCCCTCTCATCCACCTGCGCCGTCTCTATCATTCCTGGAAGCAGACAAGCAGACGTGAGCACAGCCCAGGCTATGGAGTTTCCTCTTTCTGCAACTTCAATACTCTGCTGTGATAACTATTCCCGACCTTCCAGCAACAGACATGGTACACAGCAACTACTATGTCAACTCAAGACAACTCTTTAAAAACCAGCATGTGGAAAGTGTAACAGCTGGTATTACAATGGCCACAAAGTAACAGAGGAAAACAGCTATTTTTATGTTTGAATAATATACTGTGCACTACTGTAAGTATAATCTCAAGATTTTTTCAAATGTATCAGAAACAGGTTAAAGTTCAAGTTATTCCTAGCATAAGAGATTAAAATTAGGGCACAGGACTTATCTGGAAGCTAAGAACACCTCTGACTTCCTCCAACACCCATGTGCACATACCCACACATGGACACACACTCAAACACATGTGTAATAAAAATATATATTAAAGTAAATGATATCTGAAAGAGTGAAAAGAACTTAGGGGGTGGAGAGAGGTTCAGCAGTTAAGAGTGCTTGTTCCAAAATCCTGAGGACTGGGGTTTGGATCCCAGCACCCATGGAAGGAAGTGGGTATCCCAACAGAAGCCTGCCGGCTTTGAGGGGGACAGAGACAAGAGGATGGCTTGGCCTTGCTGCTTCTCACCCTAGCCAAGAAAATGCAGTTTCAGTTCAGAGAGAGACTCCTGACTACCAAGAAAAGGGGGGAGGGTGACAGGAAAGAGGACACCCATTGTCCTCTCCTGGTCTCCTTGTGCATACACATACTGACACAGACACACACACACAAATGAACCTTTAAAAAGAAAAGGATGAATGAGCTTCACTGACCGTTGAAGTAACTTATACACATATATGTATATTTGTGAGAGAGAGAGGAGAGAAATATTCATGTGCATGATACCTAGTATTAAACTACATGAACTGCGTGTAGTGGTACAAGCCTTGAATTCCAGCACTTAAGAGACAAAGGCAGGAAGGTCTCTGTGAGTCCTAGGCCAGCCAGAGTTACATGGTGAGAAATAAACAGACAAAACAACACATCAAAACCCACGAGTCCTAATGGTGAAAGCTGGATGCTGGTAGCATGTGCCTGTAATCCCACTACTTGGGAGGTTCCGACAATAGGATTAGGAGTTCAATGACAGTCTCTGCTACATAGAATTCAAGGCTGATCTAAGTGAGATTTTATCTCACAGAAGGGGACCAAGGTGGAGGGGAGGAATTTTTGTGATTTGGCTTAGACAGGTATTTCCTATAGAAGACAAGAGTCACAAATTCATAAAATAAATAATTTTTAAAAACCTGACAAATTGAACCTTATTGAAAAGTAAAACATCTCCTTTTTGAGAAACGGTTACAGGAATGAAAAGTCAGGACACTGACTGGGAGGAAACTTCTGCAGAACACTTAGTCAACAGGATGAAGGAAGAAGAGAGGGAGTCCTTGAAACAGAAAGCGTCCTAAAGCCTGTGTCTGGGGGCAGCTCATCAAGAACAGTTCTCAAGTGGGGTGTGCCAGACATTGTAGTGAGATGACAGACAGTACAGATTCTGCTTCTACTTACTTATTCAGCCTTTTCAAGTTGTTCATTTCTAGGCATGTTTCACAATGGATGAAATGGATTCATGTTAGCAGTCCTGTGTTACAGGACTTGTAATGAACACATGGAGAATAGATATCCCTAAAGCATGAGGTTTATCCCAATCTTCTGTCTCAAGTATGGTCTGAGAACTGCAAGCTTCACCACTCGTGTGCTTGTAGAACGGGAACTTGAGGACACGACAAACCTCCATCAAACGTGTTGATTTACGCAGATCCCCGTGGTCGTACACAGCAACTGTCACGCAGTTCGCTGGTTCTCAGGCTGAGTGTGCAGCCGAGTCACATGGTGGCTTCCTACAGCACAGACTGCCTGCTCCAGACGTTCTCGTCCAGCAGGTTTGGGACTGGAAGCTGCCTTTCTAGTAACCTCAAGCAATGCTATCACTGCTGACTAGCAGGAGACCTCATTATTCTAAAGGAATTATGAATGACTTCAGAGTCTTGAGTAAAATCTACCCCAAAGTTTGTGTATACTTATTTTTTAGAAAGCAAAACCAGTGTCATCAAATCCTCAAGAGAATGGGCTCCACAGATTTAAAGACTGCGATTTGACAATCCTGCACTATTATTCCATAGGCTAGCATTCTCCTAAATATAAGCATTGTAGTGGCAACATGAGAAATGGACTTCAGGCTATATTTATAAAGAAACTTGTTTTTCTTTCTCTAAGAAAACATTTCAACATGAAAATTTCAAGTATGTAAAAAAGAGAAAAAGAGCCTAATAAAAACCCATCCCCTCATTTTACCCACATTCTATGTGTCTCTACCACTATTTTGAATCAAGTCCCAGACATATTTTATTCATGGATTCCTTTAATATGTATCTCTAAAAGAGACCTTTTAAAAACTTAACTACATCCTAATGACACCTAAAAAGACTAACCTTTATATTTTATTTTTTATTTATTTTTTGATTTTTTGGTTTTTCGAGACAGGGTTTCTCTGTGTAGCTTTGCGCCTTTCCTGGATCTCGCTCTGTAGACCAGGCTGGCCTCGAACTCACAGAGATCCGCCTGGCTCTGCTTCCTAAGTGCTGGGATTAAAGGTGTGCGCCACCACTGCCCAGTTTTTTTTTTTTTTTTTTTGAGGGGGGGGTATATTTTAATAACTTCAGTGCACATTCACGGACTGATTGTTTCCAAAATATTTTTCTTCACTAATCTGTCAATTAAGATCCAAATATGGCCCACCACTACAACAAATTGTTATGGATGTTAAATGTGGGTTCTTCTTTTTCATTAAAAAAAAAATGTAGAACAGAAATCAACCTCAGATGCCATCCACCTTATCATTTGAGAAAGGTTTTTCACTAGGTTCTGAACTTGCTGATTTGGTTAAGCTAACTGGCCAATGAGCCCCAAGGATCCAACTCCACAGCTTGGGGTGGGGAGGGCTGAGAAACACGTGCTACTATGTCTGTGGGTGTTGGGAATCAAACTCAGGCCTTACAGCTGAGCTATTGCCTCAGCCCCTTGAATGTGTTTTAATACATATATTCTCCTTTCTTTTTAAAAAATAATCATACACGCATATTTTAAATACATTTAGCATACATCAAACAAGTGATTTCAAAACCATTAGTTATTGCTTAAAACAGATAAAAGTGCGTAAGATTTTAAAACATGAACTGAATAAATACCAGGTAAAAACAGTACATATAGATCTAAAAAATTTCCTGTTTATATTACAGAAATTGGCAAAATATCACTTTAGAAAAATTAACAATGCTTTTTTTTTTTTTTTTTTTTTTTTAAAGGCAGGGTCTGGGGCTCATTTTGTGGACCAGGCTAACCTCAAACTCAGAGACCCACCTGCCTCAGTCTTTGGAATGCTAGGATTAAAGATGTGCACCACTACTCCTGGCTGGAAACATTAACAACAGTTTGTAAAAGCCATTTGTAAACGTGCTAATGTGAGTATACGTACTTTTACAAAGGTCAAGGAAGAGTTCCTCAATTCCTTTGTTTTGTTTAGCGGAAGTATGATAATGTTTAGCTCCCACAGAATCTGCATACCTTAAAAAAGAAAAAAATATCGTTCACTGACAAAATCCTTCAAGCTTTCTACAATAGCAATTTTAGTGACTAAATTTACCTTTATTGACTTACTAACTTACCCAATTTTCATTACATCAAGATTATTTAGATATTTAATTTCTCTATATTCAGAGAACCAAATTTAGAAAGAAAAAAAAAAACACAAGATTTGAATTTTTTTTTTTATTTCGAGACAGAATTTCTTTGTGTAGTTTTGGTGCCTGTCCTGGATCTCGCTCTCTAGACCAGGCTGGCCTCAAACTTACCAAGATCCACCTGGCTCTGCCTCCTGAGTGCTGGGATTAAAGGCATGCCCCACCGCCGCCGCCGCCGCCACCACCACCTGGCTAGATTTGAAATTTTTATACACTAACTTGGACTGAAATACTTTAAAAGGTTTTGTGATCTCCTGACATTTAATCTTGATAGCATTCTTTCATTTTTAGTGAAATCAAAAGAGAAATGGAAAGTGAACTATCTTACTCTTGACAGATGTCTAGCACATCACAGTGCAAACATGCTTCCTGAGAACAAGAGTGGACTGCAAGAGGTTTGTGTACACATTCTGAGGAGGTTACATCAGCTAACTTGTCAAAGCCTACATGAAGCGGCTGCTGTCACTGGGGAGCAATGGGAGGTGGGGGAGCATGACACTTACGATTCTGCTTCTTGGATGGAAACATGTCTCTCCTTTTCCAAGTCTATTTTATTACCTAATGTGAAAAAAAGTAAACATTGATCTTAATACTGATTTATTTTTAATAAAATTAGACAGTACTAAATATATAACTGTGATTATTTGAAAAAATAACAGGAATGCTCATCAGATTTCTAAATGTCTTAATCACAAAGATGTGAGGGCTGTTCATGATCACTGGGCCTATGCTTCACCCTCCTGCAACAGGTCAGTGTAGACACGCTTGAACTTTCAACCTGTCAGAGGCAAAGAAATCTCTCTTCCAAAGAGAAGGGCGTTGAGTCTTGTATATGGGCACAGCAGGCCTGAGACGCACTAGGAAGTAGAGTGATGTTTTATTAAAGTATATATGCATGGTTTATAAACGCAAAAGAGGCTCTAGCCCCAGTCAACTTAAAACCAATCAATAAGTAAGTGTAACTATTGATTTACTAAAATATAGCAAGCTTGTGTCTTGGGCACTAAAAGGGAACTCTTTCCCTTGATGGCATGAACTAGTTAAAGTAAAAATTTTAATTTTGAATTTTTAAGTACTCCTCCACCACAGAGAGACTAAGTATACTGTTTATGAAGCAACTTTAATGAACTTTCAGAACTTAATATATACATGTCATGTAGATTTAAAATTACCAAAATAAGTTTAGTCTTCTTTAAACAATATAGTTAAGCCAAGATTTCCCTAAAAAGCAAGCAGAACCAAAATCAAAATACTCCAAAAACAGACTCCTCCTTGAGTACTGGACAGGAGTTAAAATGACCTGGGCAGATCAGAGTAAAGGTTAGAGAAACAACAAACGAATGGGGGGGGGGGACACAAATGGTTTAATTTCTTCCATTTTATCTTGCAGACAGAATAAAGCAAAGCATCCAAGGAAAGATGAAATGTTTATCACCAAGAAGTACAAGTCAAGAGGTGCTATATATTGAAGACTGAAAAATAATCTGAGCCCTTAACTGCCGGCAGCTGTGGCAAACTATCTGCCCGCACTGCCCAAGGGCGAGGGTGTGAGAGGCAACACTAAGTCAGTGAGCTCCGACCGATGCAGCAATGAGCCTGATTAGCTCAACAGACATGCTCCAAGTCCTACATTAATCTCACTTTCTACCGTTATAGCTTGTCAGTATAAATTCAATCCAGTAAATGTTATAGCCGGTACACTGAGCAGTAATCAGATAAAGCAAGATGCTTTATTCTACAAATGCAAGCACCACCACCTGGTGTCAGGTGTCTCCTATAAAACTTCATACAGGGCTGCAGAGATAGCTCAGAGGTTAAGAGGGCAGCATACTGCTCTCCCAGAGGACCCCAGTTCAGTTCTTGCACCCACATTTAACTCCACCTCCAGAAGGTAAAGGGCCCGTAGGTACCTGCACTCACATGTACACACACACACAGAGAATTAAAAATAATAAATCCAGCTAGATGTGGTAGCATATGCCTTTAATCCCAAAATTCAGAAGGCAGAAGCAGGTGGATCTCTTCTGAGTTCCAGGCTAGGCAAAGCTACATAATGAGTGTTATTTGTCTCTCTGTTTCTCTTGCTCTACATATGTGTATATATTATATATATAGTGGTGCAATAGATCGTATATGTTATATATATTTTATATGTGGTATATTAATATAGTACATATATGGTTTATATATTACATTATGTAACATATATAATAATATATGTGCACGTATTTTAAATATTATATATGTATACATGCATATTTAACTAACTTCATTCTATTAAAACAAACTTGGGAAAAGATGACTGACCATTAAGTTAACTATATAAAAAGTGATGCGTTAACAAGACTGTTAAAATATGTAACCTTGAGCTGGGCACATTTAGGACTATAATCTCTATAATTCCAGCATTTGTGGGAGTCTAGCGTTGTACCTCATGATGAACCTACAGCCTTTGAAAGCCTCAAAAACAGTTGTGGATTTCAGTGCGACAGTGATTCCTCCGGAGAAGTGGAGAGCAGTGGAGAAGCACCCCACTTATCACAATGCAGGACTCAGAGGGCAAGGGTAGGCACCATTTTGAAAGAACCTGTCTGAGAACCAACCGAGAATGGGAAACATCCACAAGATAAGAAGCTAAACTGACTCTATGATCGCCCACGGCAACAGAGCCCCCTCGAAGGCACTGCAGCAAGAAGGGCCAGTACCCAAGGCGGGAGGCTCAGTCCAGGAAGGAAAGTTCCCAGGAAAAAGCAAGCCCACCCTCAGTGGCCAGAACAGATCTCACGTGCCGAGAAGACGCCCTCAGTTTCACAGAGCCCAAGGAGCCAAGGGTGGTGGGCAGACCAGCCTCGGGAGCCCCTATCTGCAGCACGGCTACAGTCTGAAACGGGAGCTCCGCTGGGCTGGCTGACACCCATGCTGCATCCTGCCAGCCCATCAGTGATGCTTAAGATGGACACACAGGTGCTCAGACTTTGCAGATCTCAGTGTTGTAGCTGCTTCCTATGATCCCAACACACTTGGGCGACAGTCCTCTGCTAAGACAGCCACCCTGGGGACTTTGTGTTGGAGAGCCAAGAGATCCTGACCAACGCACAGAATGCAAAGCTAAGTGTTGTTAGCTGAGGGCCATCATACACAGAGACCATGCAGGTTGACATCAGCACCAGTGAACATCAGACACTTGTCAGTACAGGCTCAACACCAGCCTAAAGAGCAGGAAAGACAAGAGCCCGTAAGCTCGACTCAAGTCCCTCCTCCCTTTAGAAATGCAATTATTTACTTTTTGAGAACCAACAAAGAAGCCGCTCCAACGTTTTGTTGCCATTCATACCTTTGTTTTATTACATCTTTTGAAAAGATTTAATTATTTATTATGTGTATACAGGTGTGGCTGTATTAGTTCATGTGCAGCCTGTGTGCAGGTGGCCGATGCCCACGGAGGCCATTGGAACCTCTGGAACTGGAGTTACAGGTGGTTTTGAGCTACTGAGATGGATGCTGGGAACCAAACCTGCATTCTCTTCAAGAGCTGTTAAGTATTCTTAACCACTGGGCCATTTCTCCAGGTCCTCTTTTTATTACATCATAAGCAGTGTTTTTGCTGTCATATTTCTAAAAACTTTTACATTTTATTCTCTTCTACACGTCATCTATTTTGATTCATTCATTCATTCATCACTATTGGCAACATTGCTCCACCCCTTTCTGCTCCACCCCGCCCTACTCTCCCCCAACACACGCTTTTTCTCTCTACTATACTTTTAGTAGCATTTTGGCTTCATCTTATTGGGGGTTTTATGGTTTTACTTTATTTTATTGTTGGTTTTTGCTTTACAGAAAAACTAATGCTTTTACCTAATTAAACAAAATTTTCTATCATATGTGTATAACGCATGTGTGTGAGGAAATGTACATGCTCCAGCAGACATGTGGCAGCCAGAAGACAATGTTGTGGAGTTGAACATGGGTCCCAGGGTTGAACTCAGGTTGTGAGGATTGTGTGGCAAACACTTTTATCTGCTAAGCCATCTCAATAGCTCATGTTTTCACTTTTTATTCCCCTTCTCACACTATTCAAATTTGCTTCCACACTTTTTCATTATTGGGAAGCTTTTTGTTGTTCTTATCTTTCTTGCACTTTTCTCTTCCCTGACACTACATTTTTCTCCTTTTCCTTTCACTTTTTTTTGTTTGTTTGTTTTGTTTTTCGAGACAGGGTTTCTCTGTGTAGCTTTGCGCCTTTCCTGGGACTCACTTGGTAGTCCAGGCTGGCCTCGAACTCACAGAGATCCGCCTGCCTCTGCCTCCCGAGTGCTGGTATTAAAGGCGTGCGTCACCACCGCCCGGCCTTCCTTTCACTTTTATATTAGCACACTCTTAGATTAATTTTCTTATTTTCTGGTTTATGATCACTGCTGAAATGCTAGTGGACTTTTACATATATTTTAATATCTTGCACAGTTTGATGCTGTGGCTATAATAGTTTGTTTCATCAAATAGTGGTCCTCAGAACTGAACCCTTATGGACAGGCTGCTCAGTAAGATCCCAAAGCAAATGACATGCAAACTGCATTACAGAACACAGACAATAAGACATGACCCCTACAGAATACTGACCTTCTACATGACTTCTACAAAATACTGAAGCAGGTAAACACTGGATAAAGGTTGTAAAGTTTACTAGTAAACACGATCAATGACCTCAGAGGATACAAATAAGCCAATAATTCAATCCAGGATTTGAGAAGAAAATGAGCAACACCGAGGACCGAGTTAAATTAGCAATAAAGATGAAAAGGCTCCACCATGGAAGAAAGACAGCACAAGGGAACAGAGAAGAAAAGAAATGAAACTGTATCAAATAAAAACCACCAGGGAAGACCACCAAGAGATTCAACCAGGCATATGAAGGAGTGTCCGAGGTGACGACAAGGACAAAGAAGTGTGACGCTCACACCCCAGCCAGAGAAGAGGAAACAAGCATCATCACAATATGATCAAAAACCCAAAGCTAGGGCACATGGGGTAGAAAAGCAGTGAGACAGAAACCACAGGAGGAGGAACTACCACTACCATTACAGTAGAAGCCTTCAAAAATCTTAATGGACTTCCAAATTCAAGAGGTATTGAGAACCCCAAATAGACAAGGCAATGAAAGAGTTAAAGGACAATGAGCGGGGAGCAGCTCTCCAGTCAGGGGCCGAGGAGAAAAACGAGGAAGTAGTTATATATGACACGAAAGCTCCAGTGGGGACATGCACATGGGGAGCAGCAAGGAGACAGCAGCAGCGGGGAGGGGGAAATGGGTAAGGCCGTGAAGGAAGAACAGGAACACGGTGCAGAATCACATACACAGGAAACACCACTACGAGCCCCACGACTGTGCACGCCAGCCTCCAAAACATACACGAACTTGAAAACGAAGTTCCCGTAAAAAGAAGTGGGGGCGCACATCTGCATCGCTGGCCGTCAGCAGGCCGAGGCAGGAGGACCACGTTACGTTCAAGGCAAGCCTGGGCTATCCAGCTAGACTTGGTCTCTCAAAGCCTGAACAGGCAGGAAGCACGGGTCCCAGGGATAAGGAGGTACATGGAAGAACACAGCAGCGTCTGCAGGAGAGTGGAGATGATGGAGGGAGGATTCTGCCACTGTGTCAGGTCGGACGGTGCTGCAAGGATAGAGCATCCTCAGACTAGAGAAGTGCAGTGCACGGCCTGCCACAAGAAACCACTGGAAACATCTGGGGACAGTATGGAGAAGGATGGAGGACCAGTTAACCAAGTCCTGTCATGAGCATCTGATTTAATATACCCTCCCAACCCCCTTTCAATCTTTTCAAGTTCTCCTCCTACAGACAAGAAACCACAGGAATAAAATGGGAAATGCATCCTTAAAATTATTCTCAATTTTATGTCTAACTTGCCAGCAGATAGGAAGACTTCTATTTCATGTTCTACATTAATAAGCTCTACGTTATATAAAGGTTACTCAACTTCCGTAACTTCAATGTATATGAAAATAATTTTGCTCTTCAGAGAGTAACAAAATATCAAAAAAAAAAAAAAATTAACCTTCAGTTACTTACTTACTGTGGTCACTCTAAACATGGTAAACTCCATATACTACAGAAAGCCACACAAATCTCATTAATAACTAGCTGCAACTTGGGCCTTCTTTGTGATCTATTACTCTAGCGTTCCTTTCTCAGATATCCGTGCTGGACTAATTCCTCCTATCTAAAATAAAAAGGAGCAAGTCATTTCCCTACTCTCTTTCCTCAGACTCATACTTTGGTATGAGACCAAACAGTTACCAATCTAATAGGAACATGCATGAATGGTAAGTTCCAGTTATGAATAAATTCCCAGGGCTAAGAGCAGCGTTTTCCCACACACATCATTCCACTGCTTCAATCCCCCAAACAATCATCACTTCCATCCTCCACTAACCTACCATGCCTTCAGGGTGGCAAGATGACTCAGTGGTTAAGAGCCACTTCTTCCAGAGAACCTGGGTTCAACTCCCAGCATCCACGTGGTGGCTCATAACCACCTGTAACTCCAGTTCTAGGGGATCCTATGACATGTTCTTATTTCATGGGTGCCAGGCATGCATGTGGTGCACAGACACACATGTAGCGTATAGGCACACATGCCGGCAAACACCCAGAGACATACATTTTTAAAAAGAAAGAGTTAAGAAAAAAAGGTTTGTGCCACTGTGCCTGGCCTTGTCACTTAAAAAAAGAAAGAAAAACAAACTATTCTGATTTTTCTCCAAGCTCAGTCTTATTATTATCAGCCACAAAAGCAGGCAGCAGCATCCCTGACAGCTGTTTGGTGCCAGGTAAGAACATAGGTATGCCCAGGACTTTCCTTCCTGCACTTCCCTGTGATGCCCAGGACTCTCCTTCCTGCACTTCCCTGTGATGTCCAGGACTCTCCTTCCTGCACTTCCCTGTGATGCCCAGGACTCTCCTTCCTG